CAGAGGAAATGCTTCTAGCTTTTGCCCATTCAGTATGATGTTGGTTAAAAAGACACATGCACTCGTATATTCACTGCAGTGCTATTTACAATAGCAAAGACATGGAATCAACAAAGATACACATCAGTGGTGGATTAGACAAAGAAAATGTGGTACATGTACACTATGGAATAGTATGTAACCATAAAAAGAACAAAATTATGTTATTTGCAGCAAAATGTACAGCTTGAGGCCATTATTCTAAACGAATGTAAGAACACCAAACCAAATACCACATGTTCTCACTTATAAGTGGGAGCTAAACATTGAATGCACATGGACACTCCCTCTTGAGAAGGGAGGGTGGAATGGGGACATGGGTTGAGAGGATATCTATTGGTACTATGCTCACTACCTGGGTGATGGGATAATTGGTAGGCCAAGCCTCAGTGACATGTAATTTACCCATGTAACAAACCTGCACATGTACCTCTGGAACCTACAATACAAGTAGAAGAAGAAAAAAAAGAGGAAAGAAAAAAAGACCTCCAAGTAGTCATGGAAGTTCCTACATCAGTAAATTAGAAAAAGAAGAGCAAAATAAAACTAAGCAAAGAGAAAAAAGGATATCATAAAGATAAAAGTAAAAATTAATGAAATTGAAAATAGAAAATAAACAGAGAAAACTAATGAAACCAAATGCTGGTTATTTGAAAATACATGTTTTTTAAAAGTTATAAAACTCTAACAAAACTGACAAAAATAAAGAAGACTTAAGTAATCAAATCAAGATATCACAATGGAGGCTACAGTCTTTGAAAGTTTAATAAAGTGTTAAAATGAAGAATTTGACATGCACACATTCAACAACTTAGATAAAATATACCAATTGCTCAAACACTGAATTACAAAAACTAAGAAAAGATGAGATAAATAAACTGAATAGTCTGTAATCATTAAAGAAATATGATTTGTATTTTAAAAGACACTAAAATGAGTATAAAAATGTCTAAATGGCTTCTCTGTAGAATTTTACCTAACATTTTAAAAGAATTAACACCACATCTATACAATTTTATCTAGAGGATAGTAGAGAACAGAACACTTTCCAACTTATTTTATGAGGACAGTATTATCTTGGTAACAAAACAGTCAGGAACCACCTCACAAAAGAAAGTTATAGGTCAATACATGTAATAAATTTGATGCAAAATTCCTCAAAATATTAGCAAAATCTAATCTACCAATACATAAAAATAATAATAGATGTACAAATGAAATATATTGTTGTATACAAACTAAGCTTAATATTTTAAAAGCTTAATATTTCAATGTAGCCTACCATGTCAACAGGTTAAAGAAAAAATTATATGATCATAGGAATTGAGTCAGAAAACTATTTGACAAATTGCAATGCGAATTTATGACAAAAAATTGGACACTGGAAATAGAGAACATCTGAGCTTGATAAAGATCATTTATATAACACTTAAAGAAAAATCATGAATCTATTATCATACTTAATGATAAAATTCTGAGAGCTTTCCCTCTAAAAAAACCAGAACAAGACAAAAATGTCCCCTCACTATTCTTTTTTCAATGTGTTACTGAAAATTCTAGCCACTGCAGGAAGGCAATAAAAAGGAAAAACAATCATACATATTTGAGAAAAAGAAATAAAATCACTTCTATATGCAGATGGCATGACTATCTATGAAGAAATTTCCAAAGAATATGCAAAGACTTCTAAAGATAAGAAGTGACTTCAGTGAGGTTATGTGATACAATATCAACATATAAAAATCAATTACAATCTTTTATTCTATCAACAAATAAGTAAAAACTGAAAATAAAAATATAACTCTATTAACCATCACTCTAAGTAAATAAAATCTTTACTTTAAAACTAAGAAAGTATGTATAGAATATAATGATAAAGATTACAAATGCTGATGAAAGACACTGAAAAAGGAGATTATAATGCTCATAGAATAGAAGACTCAACATAGTAAAGGATGGATTCTCCTCAAATTCCTTTCAAAATTTCAGCAAGAGTTTTGGTAGACATACACAAACTTACTCTAAATTTTATATGGAAAGGGAGAGGTCCCTGAATAACCAAAACAATTTGAAAAACAGTAAGTGGAAGTAATTACTCATCTCAATGTTAAGGTATACTACATAGTGATAGTATTTAGGACAGTGTGGTACCAATAGAGGAACAGACACAGAAATTAACATAACAGAACAGAGAACCCAGAAATAACCAACATATGTGTGCCCAAATAATTTTTCACAAAAGAACAAAAGCAACTCAACTGAAAAGGACCATCCTCTTCAACAAACTGAACTTTCTAGGCAAAATATCCAATTAGATATTTTACATAATTGGACATTTATATAAAAATAAGATTAACCTCAACAAAAATGTCATAACTTATACAGAAACCAATTCAAAGAGGATTGTGGACTTAAATTTAAAAATAAAGTTACAAAACCTCTAGAAAAAAATCAGTGAGAAAATATTTTGGTTACTGGGACTAGGAAAAGAGCTCTGAGAATTGACACCAACATACATGCTATAAAAGAAAAAAATTTGATAAATTGGATTTCATCAAAATTAAAAAGACTGTTTCCATGAAACAGCCTGTTGATAATAATTACAAATAACAGACAGAAAGGAAATATTTACAAATTTATATCTAACAGAGTACTTGTTATCTAGAATTTTTTAAAACTCTCAAAACTCAACAATACAGAAAATTCAGTTATAAATATGCAAATTATATGGGTAAACATTTTACCAGAGGATACGAAAATACCAAATAAGTACATTAAAAGATAATTAAAAGTATCCATTAGTAAAATATAAATTAAAACCTCAATGAGATATAATTATATATCTATAAGAATGGCTAAAATAAACAATAGTGACAACATGAAATCCTGGCAAAGATGCAGTGCACTGTAAAGCAGTACAGCTGCTCTCAAAAACAGTTTGGCAGTTTCTTTAAAAAGTACACATGAAACCACCATATGACCTAGCCCCTTTGAGTACTGATCTTTAGGAAATGAAATTTATGTTTACATAAAAACATTTTATGAATGTTTATAGTGGCTTTATTCCTTTATAAAATAATTTTAGTATGCATTATGATACTTGAATTCTATCACTAATTATGAGATGCAAGGGATATATTTCTATTATCATTTTGATATGTAAGCCAAGGATCAGATTGAGTCACTTAAAGTCTCACAGGCAATAAGTTGAATTATGGAGACCAGCAGAACTTTCACTGCTCTTTCCATTACATCTTACCCTTCCTCATAGAGTCTACTATAATAAAAATGAGAAGAGAAATAGCAGCAAATTACATCACTTCTTTATAGCTTCAGTCACAACAGTTAACGCACTGCAAAAACATAGCAAATTTTGCAAGTTCAAAGGCATTATTTATTATCATTACATGTGGATAGAAAAGACTGAATCATCATATGCATGTTCAATAAAATATAGTAGCTCTGCTGCTGTGAGGAAATCTGGCATGCCAAAAAAAAAAAAAAGAAGAAAAAGAAAAAAAGAAAGCCAGAGAGCCTAATTAAAAATCACAACAAAATGTCATCCAGGTGACCTCAACTCAGCCTATTTAATGTATTACTAAGAAATGTAATTTCCAAGTGTTGGTGATGATTGCTTGTGTTTATGTAACTCTCTTTCAAAGGAGGTCAGAGCTCTTTAGACTTAAGTTACTCATAAGAGTCAGCACATATTTACATATGCTCTAATAGAACCAGTGTCTTATTTAAAATAATATTGATTATTATAATCCTCACTCTTCTCCCATCTTTGACAAATCTGGCAAACACAATGTGAGTCCCAGAAAAGATATCAATACAGTTTTCTTGTCCGATACTTCTCTTTTTATAAATTGTAAAACCACTCTAGAAGGGGAAAAGATGAGTCCCACAAAATTGGTTGACTGGTGAAAATGTTTGAAAAAATTATCAGAAATGCACTTATCAATGTTTACAATGCACCTATCATTCAGCCTGGGAAACTTAACAACTAATTAACATAACTGAACAAAAGACGCCAGTAAATAAGTTCATATTTCCTATTTTCTTCAGAAATCATACAATCACAATAGATCTCGAAAAATATACACTGTTCCACAGAGATGTTTTTAAAGAACAGATTCACTGTGGCCACACAGTATCCTATGAGCTCTTAAGAAGAACTGTGGTGAAAATTTAATAGCAGCATATATTATTGTGATTACTATACTTATTCTGAAGTTCTTAAGTAGAAGACTGAAGAAAGCATATCTGATGGAACATTTACCACTCTAGCAATTTTACTGGAACACCAAGGTCTCTTTTTAAAGGGTCTTAAAAACGGAACTTATGAAAAGATGAGTTCAAGGAAATGCCATTCGTTCAAAATACATTTTCTCAAGTTGCCATTTCATAAGTAAATTAGTTTTACTCACTTGCTCCTTCCCCCTCCATTTTACACTGAAGTACCGTAAACCTGCATGCTAATGGTCACCAGTTACATAAATGATAAAATGAGAGACCATTATGTGACAAACAAGTAGCAGCAGTTGTAGCAAGTAAATAATGTCAGCCATTATTCTCTATTTGCTGTTCCCAAAGAGTAACCTCCTAAGAGGACTTTTGGAAATATGTTATCATTTGGGAGGTTAATCACATACTAAAAGCAATCCTTGGCAGAAAACATGATTTTGGTACTACTGCTTTTTATGTTTCAGAAAATCTCGAAAGTATTATAAATTCAAGTTGAAATTACACAGAGCTATGAATTACCATTATCTTTGGATCTGTTCAGTTCCAAAAGCTGGTCCATTTTCAATGTGACAGAAGCAGCAATCCTTGCATTTTTGAAACATTTTCTTGTCTATCAGTTTGCCATTAATGGCTAATAGCTACTGTGGTTTACCCAGGAAACATTGCTTCATGTTTTTCTAACCAAGTCTTCACTGATGTTTTAAAAATTTTTATTTTAAGTTCTGGGATACATGTGCAGGATGTGCAGGTTTGTTACATAGGTAAACATGTACCATAGTGGTCTGCTGCACCTAACAACACATCAACTAGACATTAAGCCCCTTGCATTAGCTATTTATTTTAATGCTTTCCCTCCCCTCAGCCCCTCGGACAGGCCCCAGGGTATGTTGTTCCCCAACCTGCGTCGATGTGTTCTCATTGTTCAGCTCCCACTGTAAGTGACAACATGCAGTGTATGGTTTTATGTTCCTGCATTAGTTTGCTGAGGATAATGCCTTCCAGCTCCATCGATGTTCCTGCAAAGGACATGATCTTGTTCTTTTTTTTGGTTGCATAGTATTCCATGTTGTATATTTACCACATATTCTTTATCCAGTCCATCAGTCATGGGCATTGGGGTTGATTCAATCTCTGCTATTGTGAATGAACATATGTGGGTATGCATCTTTATAACAAAATGGTTTATATTCCTTTGGGTATATACCCAGTAATGGGATCACTGGCTCAAATATTATTTCTGCCTCTATGGCTTTGAAGAATCCCCATACTGTCTTCTACAATGGTTGAACTAATTACATTCCCTCCAACAGTGTAAAAGCATTCTTATTTCTACATAGCCTCACCAGGATCTGTTGTTTCTTGAAGATTTAATAATTGCCATTCTGACCAATGTGTGATGGTATCTCATTGTAGTTTTGATTTTAATTTCTCCAATGATCAGTGATGTTGAACTTTTTTTAAATTTGTTTGTTGGCCACATAAATGTCTTCTTTTGAGAAGAGTCGCTTCAGATATTTTGTTCAGTTTTTAATGGGGTTTTTTTTTTGGACATTTTTTAAAATTCCTTGTTGATTCTGGATATTAGACCTTTGTTAGATGGATAGATTGCAAAATTTTTCTCCCATTCTGTAGGTTGTCTGTTTACTCTAATGACAGTTTCTTTTGCTGTTCAGAAGCTCTTTAGTCTAATTAGATCCCATTTGTCAATTTTTGCTTTTGTTGCAACTGCTTTTGACATTTTCATTATGAAATCTTTGCCATGTCTATGTCCTGAATGGTATTGCCTAAATTTTCTTCCAGGGCTTTTATAGTGTTGGGTTTTACTTTAAATGTTTAATCTTTCTTCATTTTTGTATAAGAAAGGTATCCAATTTCAATTTTTTGCATATGGCTAGCCAGTTTTCCCAGCGCCATTTATTAAATAGGGAATCCTTTCCCCATTGCTTGTTTTCATCAGGTTTGTCGAAGACCAGATGTACAGTCTTATTTCTGAGATATTTATCCTATTCCATTGGTCTATAAGTCTGTTTTTGTGCCAGTACCATGCTGTTTTGGTTACTGTTGCCTTGTAGTATTGTTTGAAATCAGGTAGCATGATGCCTCCAGCTTTGTTCTTTTTGCTTAGGATTGTCTTGGCAATACGGGCTCTTTTATGGTTTCATATAAAATTTAAAGTAGTTTTTTTCTAATTCTTTGAAAAATGTCAATGGTAGTTTGATGGGAATAGCATTGAATGTACAAATTACTTTGGACAGTATGGCCATTTTCACAGCATTGATTCTTCCTATCCATGAAGATGGAATGTTTTTTCATTTGTCTGTATTCCCTCTGATTTCCTTGAGCAGTGGTTTGTAGTTTTTGAAGAGATCCTTCACTTTCCCTGTTAGCTGTATTCCTAGGTATTTTATTCTGTTTGTAGCAATTGTGAATGGGAGTTCATTCATGATTTGGCTCTCTGCTTGTCTATTGTTGGTATATAGAAATGCTTGTGATTGGCTGGGTGCAGTGGCTCACGCCTATAATTCCAGCATTTTGGGAGGCTAAGGCTGGCGGATCATGAGGTCAAGAGATTGAGACCATCCTGGTCATGGTGAAACTCCGTCTCTACTAAAAATACAAAAATTAGCCAGGTGTGGTGGCACACACCTGTTGTCCCAGCTACTAAGGAGGCTGAGGTGGAAGAATTGCTTGAACCCAGGAGGTGGAGGTTGCAGGTTGCAGTGAGCTGAGATTGTACGACTGCACTCCAGCCTGGCAGACTCCATCTCAAAAAAAAAAAAGAAAGAAGGAAGAAGAAAGAAAAGAAAGAAAAGAAGAAGAAAGAAAGAAAGAAAGAGAGAGAGAGAGAGGGAGGGAGGGAGGGAGGGAGGGAAGGAACGAAAGGAAGGAAAGAAAGAAAAAAGGAAAAGAAAAGAAAAGAAAGAAAATGCTTTTGATTTTTACATGGTGATTTCAGACTTTGCTGAAATTTCTTATTAGTTTAAAGAGCTTTTAGGCTGAGAAGATGGGGTTTTCTAGATATAGGATCATGTTATCTACAAAAAGAGACAGTTTGACTTCTCTTTTCTTATTTGAACATCCTGTATTTCTTTCTCCTGTCTGATTGCCCTGGCCAGAAATTCTAATGCTAGGTTGAATAGGAGTGGTAAGAGAAGGCATCCTTGTCTTGCACCAGTTTTCATGGGGAATGCTTCCAGCTTTTGCCCATTCTGTACAATATTGGCTGTGGGTTTGTCATAAATGGCTCTTATTATTTTGAGATATGTTCCATCAATATCTTGTTTACTGAGAGCTTTTAACATGAAGCGATGTTGGATTTTATTTAAGGTATTTTCCGCATCATTGAGTTAATCATATGGCTTTTGCTTTTAGCTCTGTTTATGTGATGAATTATGTTTATCAATTTGCATATGCTGAACCAGCCTTGCATCCCAGGGATGAAGCCAACTTTACCTTGGTAAATAAGCTTTATGATCTGTTGCAGGGTTCAGTTTGCCAGTATTTTATTGAAGATATTGAGGAACACTGCATCAATGTTTATCATGGATATTGGCCTGAAGATTTATTTTCTTGCTATATCTCAGCTAGAGTTTGGTATGATGATGATGCTGGCTTCATAAAATAAGTCAGGGAGAAGTTTCTCCTATTCAATTGTTTGGAATAGTTTAGAAAAAGTGGTACCAGCTCCTCTTTGTACCTCAGATAGAATTCAGCTCTAAATCTGTCTGATAAAGGGCTTTTTTGGGGTTGGTAGGCTATTTATTTTGGCCTCAATTTCGGAACTTTTTATTGGTCTGTTCAGGGATTTAGCTTCTTCCTGGTGAACCTTGGGAGGGTGAATGTGTTCAAGAATTTATCCATTTTTTTCTATATTTTCTAGCTTATTTGCATAGGTGTGTTCCTAGTATTTTCTGATGGTTGTTTGTATTTCTGTGGGGTCACTGGTGATAGCCCCTCTAACATTTTTATTGTGTCTATTTGATTCTTCTTTCTTTTCTTCTTTATTAGTCTAACTAGTGGGCCATCTATTTTACTGATTTTTTCAAAAAAACACCTCCTGGATTTATTATTTTACGGGGTTTTCAGGTTTCTATCTCCTTCAGTTCTGCTCTGATCTTGGTTATTGTTCTCTGCTACCTCTTGGGTTTGTTTGCTCTTGGTTCTCTAGTTCTTTTCATTGCTATGTTAGGGTTTTGATTTCAGATCTTTCTATCTTTTTGATGTGAGCATTTAGTGCTATAAATTTCCCTCTTCACACTGCTTTAGCTGTGTCCCAGAGATTCTGGTACATTGTCTCTTTGTTCTCATTGGTTTCTAAGAACTTCTTGATTCCTGCCTTAATTTCATTATTTACCCAGGAGTCATTTAGGAACAGGTTGTTCAGTTTTCATGTAGTTGTGTGGTTTGAGTGAGTTTCTTAATGTTGAGTTCTAATTTGATTGAACTGTGGTCTGAGCAACTGTTTGTTATAATTTCAGTTCTTTTGCATTTGCTGAGAATTGTTTTACGTCCAAATATGTTATCAATTTTAGAGTAAGTGCCAAGTGGTATTGAGAAGAATGGGCATTCTGTTGCGTTTAGGTGGAGAGTTCTGTAGATATTTTTCATGTTCACTTGATCCAGAGCTGAGTTCAAGTTCTGAATATGCTTGTTAATTTTCTATCTCTATGATCTTTCTAAAACTGACAGTAGGCTGTTAAAATCTCCCCCTAATATTGCGTAGAAGTCTAAGTCTCTTTGTAGGTCAATAAATCTGGGTGCTCCTGTATTGGGTGAAAATATATTTAGGATAGTTAGCTCTTCTTGTTGAATTGATCCCTCTACCATTATGTAATGCCGTCTTTGTCGTTCTTTTACCTTTTTGGTTTAAAGTCTGTTTTGTCAGAAACTAGGATTGTAACCCCTCCTTTTTTCTGCCTTTTATCTGCTTGGTAAATTTTCTCCCATCCCCTTATTTTGGGTCTATGTGCTTTTGCACATGAGATGGATCTCTTGAATACAGCACACTGATGGGTCTTGACTGTTTATCCAGCTTGACATTCTGTGTCTTTTAATTGGGGCATTTAACCCATTTACATTTAAGGTTACTATTGTTATGTGTGAATTTGATCCTGTCAACATGATGCCAGTTTGTTATTTTGCAGACTTGATGTAGCTGCTTCATAGTGTCATTTGGTCTGTGTAATTCAGTGTGTTTTTGCAGTGGCTGATAACAGTTGTCCCTTCCCATATTTAGTACTTTCTTCAAGAGCTCTTGCAAGGCAGGCCTGATGGTGACTAATTTCCTCAGCATTTGTCTGAAAAGGATTTTATTTCTGCTTCACTTATGAAGCTTAGTTTGGCTGGATATGAAATTCTGGGTTGAATATTATTTTTTTAAAAAATGTTTAATATTGGTTCCCAACCTCTTCTGGCATATAGGGTATCTGCTGAGAGGCTATTAGTCTAACGAGCTTCCTTTTATGGGTGATCTGGTCTTTCTCTCTGGCTACCATTAAGAAATTTTTTTTAAAATTTGACCTTGGAGAATCTGACAATTATGTGTCTTGGAGTTGATCTTCTCATGGAGTAACTTACTGGGGTTCTCTGTATTTCCTGAATTTGAATGTTGACCTGTCTTCTTATGTTGGGGAACTTTGGGATGATATCTTGAAGTCTGTTTTCCAACTTGGTTCCATTCTCCCCATCTCTTTCAGGCACCCCAGTCAGTCACAGATGTGGTCTTTTTACATAATCCCATAGTTCTCGGAGGCTTTGTGTGTTCTTTTTTATTCTTTTTTCTATAATCGTG